GAAGTTGAACCATTGTAGGAGGGCATCGGGATACGGTGGTGGGGGCCGCCGGCCCCTATAATGTATAGGGATAAATATAACACAGGAATCCAGAAGCCCCTGGACTTTAATTTTATTTTTAAGATTTTTTTTTTTTTTTAGATTTTTAAGTAATTTCTACACCCAACATGGGGCTCACATTTACAACCCCAAGATGGACAGCTGAGCCAGCCAGGCGTCCCACCCCTGGCTTCAGTTCTTGGCTATGTTGCCTACAGAGCCTTGGACCACAGGCAGATCCCTTCACCTTTCTGAGCCTTTTTCCTGTTGCCTGTCAAATGGGATTGAGACACTCCACCTCAGAGGGTTGTTGTGAGCTGATGAGAGTATGAATATCGAAACGGTTTGTAACCTGGACAGCACTACCTACATTTGAGGTAATGAAGTCATCATTGTGTTAGCATTAAGATTCAGGAAAGGAGGGCAGCCCCGATGGCCCAGCGGTTTAGCGCCGTCTTTAGCCCAGGGTGTGATCCTGGAGACCCGGATGGGGTCCCACATCAGGCTCCCTGCATGGAGCCTGCTTCTCCCTCTGCCTGTGTCTCTGCCTCTCTGTGTCTGTCATGAATAAATAAATAAATAAAACCTTAGAAAAAAGATTCAGGAAAGGAGAAGCTTTAAAAAAATTTTAAGAACTCAGTTATTTTGGGGCACCTGGGTAGCTCAGTCAGTTAAGCATCCGTCTTTTGTTCAGGTCATGATCTTAGGATCCTGGGATGGAGACTGCCCTTGTGTGGGCTCTTTGTTCAGTGGGCAGTCTCTATCTCCCTCTGCCTCTGCCCTCCCCCTGCTCATGCTTTCTCTCTCTCAAATAAATAAAATCTTAAAAAATAAAAGTTTATGGGGCACCTGGGTGGCTCAGTCAGTTAAGTGCCTGCCTTCTTTTTTTTATTTTTCCATTGGGGCTAAATTTGCCAACATACAGCCTAACACCCAGTGCTCATCCCATCAAGTGCCCCCCTCAGTGCCCGTCACCCAGTCACCCCATCCCCCCACCTCCCTTTCCACCACCCCTTGTTCGTTTCCCAGAGTTAGGAGTCTCTCATGTTCTGTCTCCCTTTCTGATATTTCCCACTCCTTTTTTCTCCTTTCCCCTTAATTCTCTTTCACTATTTTTTATATTCCCCAAATGAATGAGACCATATAATGTCCACGTCGAAACAAATGGTGGGTATTTGTCGTTTCTAATGGCTGAGGAATATTCCATTGTATACATAGACCACAGCTTCTTTATCCAGTCATCTTTCGATGGACACCGAGGCTCCTTCCACAGTTTAAGGGCCTGTCTTCTATGCGGGTCATGATCCTGGGGTCCTGGGATGGAGCCCCATGGCAGGCTCGCTGCTCAGCAGGGGAGCCTGCTTCTCCTCCTTCCTGCTGCTCCCCCTGCTTGTGCTCATTGTCTCTCTGTCAAATAAATGAATAAAATCTTAAAAAGAGAATAAGAAAAAGTTTATTTCAGTAATCTCTACACCCAGTGTGGGTGGGGCTCGAACTCACAACCCCCGAGATCAGGAGTCGCATGCTCTTCTGAGTCAGGCACCCCGAATAAATAAAGGAAAAAAGATCGAGGAGTTGGTGAGGAGTGATGTAGTAAGAGAGGCAGGGACGGCCCAGGCCTGCTAATAGGCTGGCCATGCCCCCACCCTGGTAGTGGTACCCTGGTGCCCTGGTAGTGGTACCACTCCTACCTGCCGCCCGCCTGGCCCATGGCCTGGACCCACGGCATCTCCCCGACTCCATCAATCAGGATGCTGAGCTGCCAGCAACAGCTACTCTAAGCTGGAAAGGAACTGATCGAAGGAAATAGTACTAGGTGGTGTTTCGGGGAGGAGCCGACAGCTAGGACTGAGGACCAGCCGCGTCCCGAGAGCCGCGCCCGCAGAAGCACCGCCGCAGCCTCAGAGGGCCCGCACGCCCCCACTCCCGGGCTCGCACAGGTGCACATTGCTCACTTCCGACTTCAGCTCTTGGGCAGGTGAGTCAGCTTGATGGAACCCAAGTGGTGTCTGTACCCTCACCTCAAGGGAGTCCCGCGAGGGGCATGGGGCTTCGACCTTGGAGAGACGGTACTCATGGGACGTGACCAAGGTGTAGAGGGTTGGCCAACGTCTGGGTGGCCGCAGATGGGAGACATCCTCTCCCATCAGTCTCGTTCCCCACATGCTTGATCCCAAGACAGCGATTCCAGGGAAGGGCTGTGAGAGGAGCCCACCCCCGGAGGGCTCCTGGCCCATTTGCGAGGACCCCAGAGGTTGATGGGCTTGTGTCTCCACATGGGGGTGGTGTGGTGGGATGGCTCCTGGGCTCTTGGACCTATGGAACAGACCTTGCTGGTGCTATATGTGTCGGGCCAGCGTCCTGGGCCTCAGCATGTGGGGTGGGGGTGCTCACGCCAGCCTGGGGCGAGGAGGAGGGTGCGAGGGGGGCACTCTGGGCTTCTACCTCTGTTGTCACCTTTCCTGTCCCCATTCTCCCACACACGTGGCAGCCATCCTTTGTGTAGGCGAGCAGGCCTCTTGTCACGGAAATAAAGACCCCACTGGGAGCACTGTACGGGGGCCTGATGATTACAGGTGCAGGAGAACACAACTGGAAAGGCCTCCCAGAGGCCAGGCTCTCCGAGCGGTCACGCTGAAAGCGTGCGCTGACGTCCGAGGGGATGAGCTGGCGTGAAGCAGCTGGTGGCCGTCAGCATCTCCTCCAGCTCCACCTGCAAGGAGACACGACTCGCAGCATCTGAAGGTCCCTGGAGGGGGATATGGCCCCATCATCCCAGCGACAGGGGGATAAGGGGAGGGGCTTCCAAGGCTACAGCCCAGAGCTGCCCACTCCGGGTGGGGTGAGAGGGCCCGGGAGGCTGAGGGGTCCGGGAAGATGAGGGCCTGTGCTCAGCATGCTCCCCGGCGAGGGCAGGGGCCTCAGACCCAGGAGTCATGTGGGGCTTTTAAGGCAACGGCGTGCAGGGCCCAGTAAGTTTGGCAGGACCCTCCCCAGGCTGTCTTGGTATTCCAGTGGCTACTGTCCAGCTTTGTAGCCCAGAGGCCAGGGGCCGGGGCTGTGAGGAGGGCCAAGGTGTTGCAGGTAGACCCGAGAGACTCCTCTGCGATGTTCCCCACTGCGAAAGGCTCCAAGGCTCCCCAGTATCTCTCTGGAGGTGTAAACACTCCTCAAGGTAGAGACTTGGAACCGAGTCACCTGGCTCGGAATATAAAGGTTTGGGACGGTGTCTCTGCTGTCATGAAATACCACAAACTCAGTGGTTTAAACCACAGAGATTTATTATCTCCTGCTTCTGGTTCTGGAGGCTGGGAGTCTGAGATCGAGGTGTCAGCAGGGCTATGTGCCCTCTGCAAATGCGAGAGAAGGACCTGTCCCAGCTTCCGGGGGTTCCTCGGCTTGCAGTGTCCTGACTCCATCCTCCCATGGTGTCCTCCCTGAGGGCACGTCGGTGTCCACATTTCCCCTTTTCATAACAGCACCAGTCATATTGAAAAAGGGAGCCCACCCTAACCCTGTAGGACCTCACCGGAACAACCTCACCGGAACATCTCTAACTAGGTGATTTCCATATAAGGTCACCTCCAGAGGTGCCTGGGATCAGAACTTCAACACAAAAGTTTGGTGGCGACATAATTCAATCTGTAACACATGGGTCTTGCACCCCGAGTTCTGGGGCACAGTTCACACACTTCACTTACACAGCTAGCAACTCACCCTGCGGTCCTGACTCATTCTCTCGGCGCCCTGCGAGATGGGGAGGCCAAGCACATGTCCTTTGGTGTTAAGGGGGGGGGCGCAGTTAAATGGCTCGGGCTCCCACAGTCACCTTGTATACACCCCTGATGCCGGATGGGCAGCCTGCTTCCCAGCTGTGACCACGGCAGGGTCACGCATGTCTGTTGTGGGGAGGCTGACCTGGGTATGGACAGGGCCTGGGGTGGCGCAAAGCCAGTGGGTGTTCTCAGACCTGAGCTGCCCTCCCCGCCTCCCCTTGGTGTGGCTTTGAATGTAGAAAATCTTCCTTTGGGGTTGAGCTGAGACCCAGATGAGGGCCGGGGTGGGAGTGTTACACGCTCAAGGTCACGGGGTGAAACCTGCTGCTCACGCGGAGCGCCATCACGTCCAGCACCCTGCCTGTCCCCCATACCCCCTCTGCAGTGTGTTTCCCTCTCTGAGCTGCCCACCTTCATCTGCCCCCACATCCTCTTCGTCTCCCCAAGGATTCAGGGACCTGGCCTCCCTAGGGCCTTAAGGCATATTGAGGACGTCGCCTTGCGCTAGGGGCCCGGTTTCAGCCAGACACCAGAGGTCAGGGTGGCATCCCACAGGTCTTTGCAAAGACCTTTGCCCCTGGAAAAGGAGGTGTGAGCCCAGGGGGTGGAGGATGGGAGGGGAGGTGTGGACCCTGAGCTAGGGCTGGATGCACCCGGGAGCCCAGTCCCGCTCCAGGCCAAAGAAGGGGGAGCCGGAGGGCAGGTAATGTGCCAAGGTCAAGTGCGGGGTGGTGCCCGCGCGGCAGAAGCAGGCGTCGTTGGAGGCAGCGCCGGGACCACAGGGCGAGGGGGCGCGGGTGCGCTCGTCCGCTAGGCCCAGGCCCGAGGGGCGCGCGTGGTGTAGGGGTGTCTCCGGGGCTCCCGAGGGGCGGGGGCGGGGGCGGGGGCGGGGGAAGCGAAGCGCGGGAGCCATCCGGGGCCCGTGGGACTGCAGGGCCGCGCTCCCGTCCCCGCCCGGCGTGGGGCGCCCCGGGAAGGGCTGGCGGGGGGGGGGGTGCGCGGGGCCGCGCGTGGGGCCGGCGGCCGGGGCGGGGTGAGTCACGGCCCGCCCGCTGCCATTGTGCGGCCGGCGGCGGAGCTGCGGAGCCGAGCGCGAGGAGGTGGGGCCGGGCTGCGGCTGGGCTCGGCGCCTGCGTCCGCCCGCTCGTGGCCGCCGGCTCGTGGCGGGGCCCCCGGGGAGCGCGCGGCAGGGCGATGGGGCGCGGCGGCCGGCGCAGGCCCCGCGCGCGCCCGAGCCCCGAGGTAGCGCGGGCCGGGCCGGGGCGGCGCGGGGCGGCGCGGGGCGGCGCGGGGCGGCGCGGGGCGGCGGGGCCTGGCGGGGCGCGGGGCGGGCTGCTGACCCGCGCTCCCCCGCAGGGCCCCCCGCGCGGCCCCCGCAGCGCCCCCCTCTTCTCGGCCGGGTCGCGGGCCCCCCAGTGAGCGGCCATGGCCAACGGAGCGATCCCGCCGCCCGGGGGCGCCTCCCCCCTCCCCCAGGTGACGGCCGCGCGCGGGCGGGGGCGGGGCGGGGCGGGGGCGGGGGCGGGGCAGGCGGGCGTCGGGACCCCGGGACCCCGGGACCCCGGGACCCCCGGACCCCCGTCCAGGGCCGGGCCGGAGGCGGGGACCCGAGCGCCTTTGGGATCTCTGGTTGCTGGCGCCCCGCGGCTCGCCCGGGCCCACGGGGAAGGGGCGCAGGGAGGGGGCGGCCAAGCGGGCGCCGCCCCAGCACTGGGTGGGGGCGCGGGGGCGTCGGGCCGGGGTCCTTAGGAGACGCCGTGTGAGCCCGCAGGTCCGGGTGCCCTTGGAGGAGCCGCCTCTGAGTCCAGACCTGGAGGAGGACGACGACTTGGGCAAGACCTTGGCTGTGAGCAGGTTTGGGGACCTCATCAGCAAGCCCCCGGCCCGGGACCCCGAGAAGCCCAGCCGCAGCTACAGCGAGCGGGACTTTGAGTGTGGGTAGCCCGGGGCCCCTAGGGTGGCCGCCCTCACCACCATCACCTTCATTGCCACCATCACCGTGCTCACCACTGGCTTGGTCACCCAGTGCCATCTTGTGCTGGACGCTGTGCTGGACGCTGTGCGGGGCCACCATGCCGTGTTAAGTCATCCTGCCTCACTCACCCATCGCCTGTCCGCCTTCCAGGGGAGCCGGGCCCCAGACACAGGGGAGACGTAGGCAGGGGACCCGAGGCCCACCTCGGTGACCTTCATCTCCCCCACCATGGCTGTGCCCTAGCCCGGCCCGCTCTCTTGTCCCTGCCTCCTCACCTCCCTCAGCGCTTCCCCGTACCTCCCCCCGCCCTTGCCGTGTCGTGGCCTCCCACGCCCCCCAGGCCCCCGTTCGCTCACGACTCCGGACTCCCGGTCCCCGCTCTGCCAGGCCTTACCAGTGGCTGGACGTGGACACAGGTGTCAGGGGGAGCCTGGCCCTCCAGGAAGGACTAGGGTGACCTTGTCTGAGGCCCTGAGCTAGAATAAGGCGTGTGCCCCGGGGTGGTGAGGGGCCCCCTTGTGCTGTGGGGACCCCAACCGGCTCTCCTGCACCCCCAGTTCACCGGCACACATCCCACCACACCCACCACCCGCTCTCGGCGCGCCTGCCTCCGCCCCACAAGCTGCGGCGACTGCCCCCCACCTCTGCCCGGCAGACCAGAAGGAAGAGGAAGAAGGAGAGAACCTCGGCTCCCCCCTCCGAGGGGACCCCTCCCATCCAGGAGGAGGGGGGAGCTGGAGTGGAGGAGGAGGAGGAGGACGATGAGGAGGAAGAGGAAGGGGAATCTGAGGCAGAGCCCGCGGAGCCCCCGCCCTCAGGGTCTCCCCAGAAAGCAAAGGTAGGGGTGTGCCCTTGAAAGGGGACTGGCTTCTGGGGGGTGCAGAGAGGATGCAGCAGAGGGGTCCGGGCTGCCTGGGGGGGCGGGGGCTGAGGCGGCCCAGGGACCCAGGGCACCCGCGTCTGTCCCCAGTTCTCCATCGGCAGCGATGAGGAGGACAGCCCTGGCCTCTCCGGGAGGGCCGCCTGCGCCAAGCCCCCAGCCTCGGGGGGCCCTGGCTCTGACAAGAGCGCCCCGCCGGCAGTCAGGTACTGGCCTCCAGCCCGCAGCAGGCCCCAGGCTCCCCCGGGTCCCCGGGGACTGTCCTGGGGAGGAGAGGGGAGGGGGCGGGGATGGACCAGGAGGAGAGAGAGGGTGTCCGGGGGAGGGGGTGGGGGGCAGTAAGATGGGGGCGGGGAGGCGGGGGGGGGAGCGTCCTTCTCCACCCAGGAGGACTCTAGGACCCCGAGCTGGGGGAGGGCAAAGGACCCCCCTAACCTGGCCCGTCTCCGCCGTGATTCCCCATCAAGTCCAAGGCTGCCATGGTGCCTCCTCAGCTCCTCGAGCCCCCGGGCGCGGGTCCCCCGAGTCGCTGGGGAGAAGAGCCGGCCCTGGAGCCCATCGGCCAGCTACGACCTGCGGGAGCGGCTGTGCCCCGGCAGTGCCCTGGGCAGCCCAGGTGGCCCGGAGCAGCAGGTGCCCACCGATGAGGCAGAGGCCCAGATGCTGGGCTCCGCGGACCTGGATGACATGAAGAGTGAGTGACACCCTGTGGCGACCCCCATGGCCCACCCCTTTGGGTGCCCTGCCCGGGAGGGGCCTTGGAGAAGCTCTGGGGTCTCCCCAACCCAGTGCTGAGTCCCCTCGGTCGTATCCCCATCTGCTGGCATATGGCCAGGGACGGGGAGCTCACTACCTCACCAAGCCGTCTCTCTGGCTACCAGAGTTGAGATTTCACTTCGTGACACCTCTGCCCTTCTGTCCTGATTCTGTCCTCTGAGTCACCCCCTGCATAAGGCAACCCCCTCCTTCCACGTGACATTTGGGGACATTATATCCGCCACCCCCAAGGCTTCTCTTCTCAGGGCAAACTCTTTTTTGTCTTCTTCATGCCAGCCCCCTGAGGGTGAGCCACTCTTCCAGGTCCTGCTTCTCCCTACATTCGGGGGGGCGGGGGAACCCTGCTTCTCACACCACCCTCGGCAGGGCCTGGCTGTGATCTCGGCACATTCCTTCCATCTTATCAGCGCTCTGGTTTCTGTACCACCTGTCATCACCCACGGGGCTCGGTGCCCAGGCCGGGGGCATCACTGACCCCACCTCCCTCCCCCTTGGAAGCATGGCGTGTGGGCGGGGGTTGGTGGGGAGGGCTTGGAGCTCAGTACGTCATGGAAAGTTGCCAGGGCCTGAGGACAGGGACAGGAACAATCCGATGGCAGCAGTGGGGGGGGGGTGGTCAAGGGGGAGGGTGTGTTTACAGACTCTGGGTGGGGGCTGGAAGCAGCAGGGAGCAGGCCTGGGGCTGTGGGAGGTCAGGAGGCTCTGGTTGAACAAAGACCACTGGTCCAGGCTGCCACCCTTTAGGAGAGCCAGGGCTCTGGGAGACAGCGGGCAGGGGCCAGGGCTCGGCCGCTGGGAGAATGATGAGCTTGCTGGAGGAGGCCGCAGAGCCCAACAGGCCGCCGGGCCCCGGGCCTGGGGAGGCCGAGGGTCGGGGCCCTTGGATGGCCCCAGCCCCCAGCACGCGAGACTCTCTGGCCTCAGAGGACTTGGAGATGTTGGTGCTGGACCTTGAGGACGGTGACCTGTGGGAACCCCCCCAGGGCCAGCTGAGCCCCGTGGCAGGGGGACCAGCTTGTGAGTAGCAGGGCAGCTGGCCTTTCCGCAGCTGCTGGCCTGGACGGGCAGGCAGGGAGGAGGGGACGGAGCGCTGCTTGAGCCTGCCCGTTGTGTATCTGTGCGGGCGACGTGGGCGCTGAGAGCGGGCACCGGGCAAGTGCTGGGGGCCTGGTGACTCGATGGAGGTGGTGGCCCCAGAGCAAGAGGCGGGGGCCGTGGGGCAGGGCAGGCAGCGGGGGCCGTGGGCTGAGTTGGGGTTTGCCTTTTGACAGCGGCTTGGCCAGTGGCCTCTGACGTGGCCGTGCTGGACCCCGTGGTTGTGTAGACGTGGCCTCTGGCTGGGCAGAGCAGGGGGTGGCGGGGTCGGCCGTGCCCCTCAGGCCCCCAGCCGGACCCCTGGGACCAGCACCCCGCCTTGCCTGCAGGTCACCGGCTGGAGGACAACCCTGGTGTGCGGCGGCACCTAGTGAAGAAGCCGTCTCGGACGCAGGGCGGCAGGGGCAGCCCCGGTGGCCTGGCCCCAGTCCTGCGCAGGAAGAAGAAGAAGAAGCAGCTGGATCGGAGGCCTCACGAGGTCCAGGAGGCTGGGGTGGCCCGGGCCCCTCTCCCCTGTCCTCCCCAGAGGCTCCCTCCCCCCCGCTGGAGGCCACTGCCGGCCGGCTGCCCCCCCACCCCGCCCCGGGCGCCCAGACCCTCACCCTGGCGCCCTGGCCCTAGGTGTTTGTGGAGCTGAATGAGCTGACGCTGGACCGCAGCCAGGAGCCCCACTGGCGGGAGACGGCGCGCTGGATCAAGTTCGAGGAGGACGTGGAGGAGGAGACGGAGCGCTGGGGGAAGCCCCACGTGGCCTCGCTCTCGTTCCGCAGCCTCCTGGAGCTCAGGAGGACCATCGCCCACGGTAGGACCATGGCCCTGCGGGTCGGCGCGGGGCCCTGCCGCCTTCATAGCCCAGGGCGTTGGCCGCAGCAGCCCGGGCAGCCCTGGGACCTCCCCCCCGGGGTCCCGCGCCCGGGCTGGCCTGGCATGTCGGCTGCCTGCGTGGCCGTAGGCTCTGGGCGTGGGGCTGTGCCGCGGGGACCCCCACAGCACCCGGCCAGAGAAGACCCCAGGCCACGTGCCGCAAACTAACAAGGGACCCCCCTCCCTGGGTTTGGGGGGGCTGCGCCCTTGCTCTTGTGCCCCTTCGCACACCCCCCCCACCCCGTGTGGCTCGGCCGTGCCACGTAGCGCCGCGTGTCTGCCTGTGCACGTCGGGTGCTTGGCTCCCCCGGCCGGTTTGCCTGCCCTCGGGGAGCAGGGCAGCTGGGGTGGCTGCTCCCCTCTGATGGGACCGCCCCCCCACTGTGCCCCCAGGAGCCGCCCTCCTGGACCTGGAGCAGACCACCCTGCCGGGGATCGCGCACCTCGTGGTGGAGACCATGATCGTGTCTGACCAGATCCGTCCGGAGGACAGGGCCAGTGTCCTGCGCACCCTCCTACTGAAACACAGGTGCCAGGGCGGCGGGGGCGGGAGGGCTGGGAGGGGCCTTCCAGGAGCACAGACTCTCCCGTGGGGCTTTCTAGCCTCTGCCTGAATGACCCAAGCCACGGGGATCTCCCTCCTGGCGCGTTCGGACAGCACCAGCCAGTAGAGGGTTCCTCCTTACACTGGGGGGCGGGCGGGGGGAGAGGCCCCGACCCTCCACCGCTCAGCCCCCAGGCTGACTTACTTGCAGCTGACTTACTTAAGGCCTGTTTCTAGTTCAGGGCAATCCAGGGACTCAAATCCAAGTGCTCTGCCAAGTATGACAGATACCTAAAAAAAAACAACAACAAAAAACAAAAAAAACACCTCTCTCCCTAACTTGCCTCGCCGCCTCTGCCCTCTTCACAGCCATCCCAATGATGACAAGGACAGCGGCTTCTTTCCCCGCAACCCCTCCAGCTCCAGCGTGAACTCGGTCCTGGGGAATCATCACCCAACCCCCAGCCACGGCCCTGACGGGGCGGTGCCCACCATGTCCGATGACGTCGGGGAGCCAGCCCCACTCTGGCCTCACGACCCCGATGCCAAGGAGGTCAGTCGCCTTGCTCAGACCTGGGCTGGGGAACTGAGGGGGCTTCTGGTTTCACTGGAGGCCACTGATGGCTTCCCTGCGCCAGTCAGGAAGGTCGGGTGCCTGGCACCATACGGGGCACGTGGGGGGGTCTGTAGCAGACATGCGTGGAGGCCCCTGCCCTAAAGAGACGGGAGGTGTGGATGGGATGATGCAGCAGATCCACGGGACCCGTTTCTACCAGACAGGGCCGGGGTGGTGGGGGGCAGCTTGGAGGAGGCGGCCACAGCCCGCGTGGTCTCCTCCTGACGTGGGGCACATCATCGACGGTCCCTCTCCTGGCCGGGGAGGGAGAAAACAGGGCACAGGCCCAGGGCTGGAGCAAGGGATGGCAGGGCCTGCCACGGCCTCCGGTCAGGGTCCCAGCCCTATTCCAGTTCTGCGTCCTCAGAAGCCCCTCCACATGCCCGGGGGAGACGGTCACCGGGGAAAAAGTCTGAAGCTGCTGGAGAAGATCCCCGAAGATGCTGAGGCCACTGTTGTGCTCGTGGGTGAGGAGGCAGGGGGCCCCCTCCCCGGGTGCGGGTGCTTCCACCGTGTCTGCGGGTCCTGGGCTCTGGCCTGCAGCTTCTCCTTCCAGCCCCAGCCAGGCCCCCGACGGCATGTCCCTCCTGCCTTTCCTGACAGCCCGGCGTGCCCCAGCTCGCTCTTTCACGGTCCTCTGCTTGCTTCCCGTACAGTGTTCCGCTCTCTTGGACTGCTTGCTAGTCCATGTAGCACTTTTGTGAGAATTAAAAAGAAATGCTCTTTCTTGGAGACCGTTAACTTTTCACCTCCTGGTGAATCATAATCAATACGTGAGCGTATACGCGAATAGGGTTTCCTTAGAATGGGGTTTCTTTGTGCAGTGCACAGCCTGCTCAACTGTACGGCGTGGCCACAGGTGTTTTCTCCGGGCCCAGCCTGGACGGATCCTCTTTGCCCAGTGCCCCCCCCTATGCCGTGCCTTACTCTTCCCCCAGGCTGTGTGCCTTTCTTGGAGCAGCCGGCGGCAGCTTTTGTACGCCTGAATGAGGCTGTGCTCTTGGAATCTGTGCTTGAAGTCCCGGTGCCCGTTCGCTTCCTCTTTGTGATGCTGGGTCCCAGCCACACCAGCACTGACTACCATGAGCTTGGGCGCTCCATCGCCACCCTCATGTCCGACAAGGTGGGTCCTGCACCCACCTCTGGGCCCGTTCGCCCCCGGGGCCTCCTCTTGCCCTGTCGCTCACCTGCCCGCCTACACTGGCGCCCATGGGTGCGGGGGCGCGAGAAGCCCTTCTGGGTGGAGGCTGTGCTCTGGGGCGGTGGGAGGGGGAGCTGTTGGCCGAGGGGAGAAGAGGGAGCCCTGGGCTGGGCTGTGGGAAGAGGAGGTGGCTGACGGGGGAGAGAAAGGCCCCCAAGTTTGGATGAGACATGAGACTTGACGGGGGCGCTGGCTGTGTTGTCCTTCTCCGCTGCGGCTGCCCCTCGGCCTGGACAGGAAGCTCCCGGAGCTGGGGGGATGTTGGAAACACTAACTGACCAACCTGTAGGGGTGAGAACTCCAGTCTGGATGGTTCTGGGGGCCCCTGTGGTCGCCCCTGTAGTCGTTGCATCGTGGAAAAGCCTGGAAGCTCCTGGAGGAATAGAAGGCCCTTGGAGGTTCAGGGTTGTGGCCTGTCGCCAGCCGGCAGGAACAGGAGTCAATGTTTTGTTGACAATTGTACTGGATCTGTGTACGTGGCCAGACGTCCACCCTGCCTCTGGCTCTGTGATGGCCCAATGCCTCCTCCCGGAAGCCCTCCGGGGGCTCTCTGGGTGGCTCAGCCCTTGCCTCTCCTGCCCCCCAGCTGTTCCATGAGGCCGCCTACCAGGCAGACGACCGGCAGGACCTCCTGAGCGCCATCAGTGAGTTCCTGGACGGCAGCATCGTGATTCCTCCATCCGAGGTGGAGGGCCGCGACCTGCTGCGCTCCGTGGCCGCCTTCCAGCGCGAGCTGCTGCGGAAGCGGCGGGAGCGGGAACAGACCAAGGTGGAGCTGACCACGCCGGGGAGCTATGTGGCCCCCGGGAAAGGTCAGAGCCTTTGGGGCCCATACCCCCCGGACCCCTCAGCTCATGAGCCCAGCCTGTCCTGACTTCCTAACTCCTGGGTGCCCCCATGGGAGGGACTGAGCCCGGGACTCCCTGGCAGGAGGGGTGGGTGGCCTGTGCTCCAGCGGCCCCTTGTTCCCCCAGAGCTGTCTTTGGAGCTGGGTGGCTCCGAGGCAACCCCCGAAGATGACCCCCTGCTGCGGACTGGCTCGGTGTTCGGGGGGCTCGTGCGGGACGTGAAGCGCCGGTACCCACACTACCCCAGTGACCTGCGAGACGCCCTGCACTCCCAGTGCGTGGCAGCCGTGCTCTTCATCTACTTCGCCGCCCTCAGCCCTGCCATCACCTTCGGGGGGCTGCTAGGTGAGGTGGAGGGTGGGCCAGGGGAGGGGACCCAGTGTCACTTGCAAGTCTGTGGTCACAGGACCCTAGTGATCCCCTCAGGGTGCTGATGGGTGAGTGGGGATAACCTCTAGCGTGACCGTCTCAAAGAGCTGCTGATCAGGGGATCTAGAAAGTGAGAGGGGGCAGGAAAGGTGCAAGGGGTGGGGGACCTGTGATGACGGGGGTGGGTGCTGAGGGGGCTGGTGGTGAGGGAGCTGGGAGGGATGGGCTGCTCTGTTGGAGTTGGGTCCCCAGGTCAGGGTAAGCTAGATGAGACGGGGGGCCGGGCCAGGGTGCCCCCGCTGACCCTCATCTGTGCCAGGGGAGAAGACGGAAGGGCTGATGGGCGTGTCGGAGCTGATTGTGTCCACGGCGGTGCTTGGCGTCCTCTTCTCCCTACTGGGGGCCCAGCCGCTGCTTGTGGTCGGCTTCTCGGGGCCATTGCTGGTCTTCGAAGAAGCCTTCTTCAAGGTGACTACTTCCCCCCCCCCCCCAGGGATCTCAGGTCCCGTCCCTTGGCCCAGGCGATGGGTCCCTGCGGTCTCTCTCCCGCTCCCCCTGTGGAGCTCACCCCCGTCCCTGCCTGCCCCTCCCCCGGGGCCCAGTGTCCCCGGGCAGCCCGCTGTGGGTAACCGCACCTTCCTCCTGGCCTCCAGTTCTGCCGATCCCAGGACCTGGAGTACCTCACCGGCCGGGTGTGGGTCGGCCTGTGGCTGGTGGTCTTCGTCCTTGCCCTGGTGGCCGCTGAGGGCAGCTTCCTGGTCCGCTATATCTCACCTTTCACCCAGGAGATCTTTGCCTTCCTCATCTCGCTTATTTTCATCTATGAGACCTTCCACAAGCTCTACAAGGTGGGGGTCCAGAGAGGTTTTGGGGGAGGCGTGGGGGGGGGCGCTGGGCAGCACCCTGGGGAGGAGAGCGTGGGAGGGGGCGGCATGGAGCCCTGGGAGCAGAGGGGACAAGGAAGAGGGCTCTGCGGGTGTGGGCGTGGGGGGTGGGAGCCCTGGGCAGGTCAGAGCTGAAGGGCAGGGAGTCGCACCAGAGGGTACAGGTTAGAACCCCAGCAGGGCTGCACCATGTGAGGGTGTGGGGCACGGTCAGCGCCATGGGGCTCCTTCTGTAGGGGAGTGTGTCTGTGTGTGCACGTGTGCATGTGCATGCATGTGCGCGTGTGATGTAGTTGGATGTCGTGGAATACTGTTGCCTGGTCAGGTATGTGAGGGGTCATTGTGGCCTCCCCACAACTGTGTGAAATCAGGCTGATAAAATTAGGGTCACCTGCCCAGGTGAGTGCTAGGGCAACCTTGTAACTCGCACAGGTGTTCACGGAGCACCCACTGCTGCCATTCTACCCCCCCGAGGGGGCTTTGGAGGCTGGGCTGGAGCTGAATGGGAGTGCCCTGCCCCCCACCGAGGGGCCACCCGGCCCGAGGAACCAGCCCAACACGGCCCTGCTGTCCCTCATCCTCATGCTGGGGACCTTTCTCATTGCCTTCTTCCTGCGGAAGTTCAGGAACAGCCGCTTCCTGGGTGGCAAGGTGTGTGGTGGGGAGCCCCCGTCCGGAGTTCTCCAGGTCAACCCGTGGCCCTAAACCAAATCGGTGCAGTCCCTCCCGGTCAGGAGCTTCAAAGAGGTTTAATCAGGCCGGGGTGCCCTCTTGAGCTGGGCGGCACCCCCGTGGGATTTCGAGGGACCAGCTCAGACCCCAGAGCGTTGGGAGTGTGAGTCTCCTGCCCTCACTTCCACCTTACGCTCCTTCCCCCCCGTGGCCCCCTCAAGGCTCGCCGCATCATTGGGGATTTTGGCATCCCCATTTCCATTCTGGTGATGGTCCTCGTGGATTACTCCATCACAGACACCTACACCCAGGTGAGCAAACCCCGCCTCCCTCCCACCTGGCGTCTTGAGAGGGAGGTCACGACACATTCCCGTTGCCGCAGGGCCACCATCACGGGTGGGATTCAGCTTTTTTAGTGAAGTAGTGACCTGCTGGGGCCCCGCGGGGCGGGTGGGCTGGGGGCAGCTGAGGAGGCCAGCCAGGGATCTGTGTCCATGTAGGGCCCTTGGCCGAGATTCCTGGGGCAGGTATGGGCCTGGGGCCCAAATGACAGGCATCCCTGGGGCTTGGGGAGAAAGGATATCATCCTCTGTCCTCTACCAGACCCTTGGGGGGACTTTGGAAGACGGACAACTAATTTCCTCCAAACCTGTTCACCTTCAGGTTTCCTGGAACGCTGGTACTGGGAACACAGAACTTGGTTGGAGCAGCTGCTCCGTGGGGTCCTTACCCTGGGGAGGCGGTGTCCCTGAACCCTGTCTTCCTTCCCGCTATGCAGAAGCTGACGGTGCCCACGGGGCTCTCCGTGACGTCCCCTCATAAGCGCACGTGGTTCATCCCGCCCCTGGGCAGTGCCCGTCCTTTCCCGCCCTGGATGATGGTGGCAGCTGCCGTCCCCGCCCTCCTGGTCCTCATCCTCATCTTCATGGAGACGCAAATCACTGCGTGAGCGCTGGGGGACCCTGGGGGGGGGGCAGGTGGGGGAGGAGCGGGAAGCAGCGGGGTGGTGGCCTGGGCGCACTTGGCCCGGGGCGCGGTTTCCCTGCAGTGCTGTGACGCGGTCTCCGTCTGTCCCCGCCAGCATTTGCAGGGCGGCACTTGGCAGTCCTCGCAACGCTCTGGCAGTGCGTCCTCTCACCCAGTGATGCTCACGTGTGTCTCATTTTGGTTGAACCACAATGTGGTGAGACCGAGCATCTGGCTTCGGTGGTGTTTTAAATATCCACACGATGAGGTTTTTAGCTCACATTTGCTTAAATGTGAGAACACCACTTTGGGAACTGGAAAGAGGAAGCTGACAGATCGTTGGGGGGCGCGCCTCAGTGCCCGTCCTTGCCCTGCGCTGGCCCCATGGCCGGCCTGGCCTCCCCGCCGCTCACCCTGCTCCCCGGCCTGGCCCCACAGGCTCATCGTCAGCCAGAAGGCTCGCAGGCTGCTCAAGGGCTCCGGCTTCCACCTGGACCTGCTGCTCATCGGCTCCCTGGGGGGGCTGTGTGGGCTGTTCGGGTTGCCCTGGCTCACGGCTGCCACTGTCCGCTCGGTCACGCACGTGAACGCACTGACTGTTATGCGCACAGCCATCGCGCCCGGCGACAAGCCCCAGATCCAGGAGGTGCGGGAGCAGCGGGTCACCGGAGTGCTCATCGCCAGCCTCGTGGGTGAGGGCACCCACCTCGCCGGGCCCCCGTGCCCCCGTCCACACGCTTGACTTCTTGTGGTCCCTGTGGCCTTAAATCCACTCTGTCTCCCAGGCTCGACTCAGGTCCCTTCTGAGTCTCCAGACGCATCATGTCCCGCACTTGCTCTGACCCCAACCTGCCCCTGTAACACCCTATGAGCTCTTTACCACTCTCTGCCAGGCCCGTCCATTCTCATGGGGGCTGTCCGAGGGGTCAGGTAGGTCCGTGTCCCCTCCTCCAGGCCTGTCCATCGTCATGGGGGCTGTGCTGCGCCGGATCCCCTTGGCTGTGCTCTTTGGGATTTTCCTGTACATGGGGGTCACGTCCCTGTCCGGTATCCAGCTCTCCCAGCGTCTGTTGCTTATCCTCATGCCGGCAAAACACCATCCCGAGCAACCCTATGTGACCAAGGTAGGGCCGGGGGTGTGGGGGCGAGGAAGGGAGTGACAGGGAGGGGGTCCGAGGGGTTCCTGGGTGGGAGATGGACAGAGTGACCTGCGGAGCTGGGTCCCCCAAGACGTGGGTGGGAGCAGGCCGGGCGCTGTGCCGTGAGACTTGAGGCCCATTCTGCAGGTGAAGACGTGGCGGATGCACCTGTTCACCTGCATCCAGCTGAGCTGCATCGCACTGCTCTGGGTGGTCAAGTCCACGGCGGCCTCACTCGCCTTTCCCTTCCTGCTGCTGCTCACGGTGCCCCTGAGACGCTGCCTTCTGCCCCGGCTCTTCCAGGACAGGGAGCTGCAGGCGGTAAGGGATGCTGCTTGGGGCCCTGGAGTCAGGGAGGCCTGGGTTCCAGTTTCTGCAGCACCACCCGCTAGGGGTGTGGTCAGAGCGAGTGATCTAACCTCCACGGTGTTAATGGGCTGCTGAGGGAGTCTACCTTAGATAATTCTTGGGAGGGTGAAGGACTAGTCCAGGTAAAGCACGGAGCGCGGTGGGTTCGGTGGCAAGTGAGCACGGGACGGCTGTGCAGGCTGTGTCCTGAACAAAAGCACGCAGCCGAGGGACGCGCGGGGGGTCGAATGGCACTGAACCCCTCTGTCTGGAGCCCTGTGTTTGTGAGCTGGAGGAGGGTTTTGAAAAGTCACCTGCCCGAACGTGGTGCACAGAGGTGGCACAGGAACCAGGAGATGCCGCTGGGAGTACTGATGTGTGGGCATTGCTGTCACTGTTACTGTCATCAGGTGGTGTCACTGGGGCGGTGACCGGAGGGTTTTGGCTGGAGGGAAGTGCTTGCAGCTAGGGTCTCGTCCTGGCAGCCAGCAAGGCCTGGGCTGCAGGAGGAGTTGCTGGGGGTCGGGGCGGGGGGGGGGGGGGGAGCGCCTCCTCCCCACCCCTCCCACCCTCTCCTCTCTGCAGCTGGACTCCGAGGATGCCGAGCCCAACTTCGACGAGGACGGCCAGGATGAGTACAACGAGCTACACATGCCCGTGTGACCCCCCCCACTGGGGTGCCCCTCAGAGACCCTGACACTTTAGTGATCCACACCTGGGCCCAGGGCCGGCGGGCCCCTCATGACCCAGAGACGTGCGGGAACCACTAACGCCGCGGCCCGCGGACTCTGCCCAGGGCCCTGACCTTGGCGCGCCCGGGCCCTCGCACAGACCAGACCGGCACAGGCTTTGAGCTCATTATAACCACACTCCGTGTCTTGTGTCCGCCTCACTTTCTTGGTTCCACCTCTGGTCGGTCTGGTCATTCTTATCCAACTGGAATTAGAAGAATTCTATGTTCAGGGTCATCAAAACCAGGGAGAGAGGCTCGGGCAAGGACAGAATTCTTGGGGCGGCGGGAAGGGAGGGACTCAAGACCACAGAAGGTCAGAGCTGGACCTTATCATCACCCCCCGCCCCCCAGCCCTTGCAGGTCCAGCTGGGGAGCGGGGGAGGCTCAAGGTCTGGCTCAAGGTCACCTGCTGCTGATCTACCCCCTGCTGGGAAGGGAGGGTGCGGGGGAGGGGACAGGGCCAGGTCGCTTTGCCTTCACCTTAGAGAAATCAGTGTCCCGGTGGCTGTGGGGCTATGGAAGGGAATGGAAAATGTTTTCTTTTCTTGATCCCCGGCCTTCTTGAGGAGCAGGGACAGTAGCCCAGTCCCCCAGACGCCAGGGTGGGGCCGGATTTGGGGTCCCTGGACCATTTTAGTCTCACGGTTTTAGAGCAGCAGCGTGGGGATTCCTGAGGCCACTCCTTGTGCAACAGTCTGTTCTGCCAGAAATAACCTGGGAGGCCTTGAAGAGGGTGCAAACTGGGAGCCCCTTGCGTCACAGTTGCTAGGCAACCAGTCGCCAAGGGAAGCCGGTGGTCCCCGTGTTGCCCCCACGTGGCCACTGTGCCGCACTGCGGGCCCTGTCGCCTCCGCGCAGGAGTAGCACTGCCATCTGGTGGACCAGCTGGATCTCTTGGTCCCAGACCCCAGTTCCAGCAAATTCCATGCCTCCTTGGGAGACATGGAGGGGCCAGAGAGGTTCCGGGGAGGTTCTGGGGGGTTCCACGGTGCTGCGGGGCCCTGAGCATCCAGAGCGGGCTTCCCTCGGCCCCACCTGGGCTGGCCCTGCTTCTTTCTCGATTCCAGTTTCGTCCCTGCTGTTCAGGCCAACAGCTAGAGCCCCCAAGCGGGTCAGCAGGAAGGGGAGAGACCCCTGCGAGGAAAGGGAAGAGATGTGCCCTCCAGAGGTCCCGGGCTGTCATTCAGCTTTCAGCATTCTGTTCCAGCCGGCCCCTGGGTCCCTGGCCCCCTGGTGGCCTCTGACTCCACCTGGCCTTTGGTTGGCTCCTTTGGCCTGTGTGAAGACAAAATCCTTTTTCCTTGACATTGGCCAAGTCCAGGTGGAACTGCAGAGGAACTGTGCCAGGAGCAAAAGTTGAGGTTAAGCACAAAAACCTAGAACTCAGACGAGTGCAGAGCAGAGTCTACACGAGATGGCAGGGGCCCCACGCCCAGGTGGCCTTGGCCGAGAGGCTTTGTGTGCAAGACTCTGTCCCTTTCCTGAGCCCCGTCAGGTAGCCTGGCTCCACACCGGGCCTTGGTGGCAGCCAGTTTCCCCGTTTGGCCTGGGGGATGCTGGGACCCCACAGGAAAGAACCTGCTCCTTCCTGAGCCCCTGAGGGGAGGTGGTGGCCGGAGCCAGGAAAGCTCGGCTCTTCCTTGGACACAGGTTGTCAGTCACCTCTGGCAAATGGCTGAGAATTGGGGGGTGTTGCTCAACTGGGAAGTGAGAAACCAGAGGGTGGGGGCTTTTCAAAAGGAATGTGTCTTGGTCCCGGCTGGCGTGTCAGGGTGGCCTTCAGTAAAACTAGGTGCTGGGGCCTCAGAACAGGAGGTGAAAAGATAGAACCAGATCTAACCTCTGGCTAGTGAGCGTGTCACCCAGTGTGGAAGGACGTGAATAAGGCCGGAGAGTCTGGAACCCTGAAGACAGCCACCACTGGCACCCACCTTTACTGCCCCCGAGGGAGGGAAGGCAGGTGCAGGTGCACGCTGGGGGTGCCGGGGATTCCTTCCTCACCCAGGGTGGGGGCCTGATGGGGCTCCAAGAGGCCTGTGGAGGTTGCAGTTACCCGAAAGTTTGCCAGGATGGGTAGGTGCCTTGAGGGGGGCAGGGGAGGGAGTGACAGTGGGGCGGGGTTAGGCATGGAGGAGAGAAAGGCCAGGACGGTGGAACAGTGGCAAGCCCATAGAAAGGCACCTGGCTTGGCTGGGGACCTGGATGATTAGTTTGTCCCCAATCGTTCGTTCGTAGCCTGTTTCCTCTGACTTTATCTTTACTGACTCTCTAGCCTCATTGTTCTGGGGCCCTGGGTGGCTCCATTGAGGACGTCTCCTTCCAGGGGAAGGAGAGGGAACCAGCAGGGAGGAGGCCCATCCGGCCCCATCTGGTGGCACAGCTCTGGGGGACTCTGATGAGGTCCGAGGCCATGGTATTTTGGACGGGCCCCGCTGCTACCTGCCTTAGACTGGAAGCCGCTTGGCGAGTGGGCACATGCGAGGTGGGACAGGACCCTTCTAGAAAGGAGAATTGTGGGGCCGTGGGATTATTAGCTTTCTGCACAGGATTGCAGTCGCCTCCTGGGCAGCTGCCCAGAGCTCTCCTTCTCAGACGGGTTTGGGCCCACGTCAGGGCCAGAGAAGTGCTAACTCATTCTTTTACTTTGAGCAAAGAGGGCGGCTGGCACCTCCTCATTCCATGCTGGGGATTCAGCTCACTCAGGATGTCTGTGTCCTCGTGAAAGCTTCTGGCTGTCGGAGCTCACAGACCATCTGCTTGCATTGCCTGGGCCCCTCCTCCAGGGCACCGAACCTGGCAGTAATGTGTCCCATTTGGCAGCCCGTGTGACATCTCTTCTGGTATCAGGTGACTCAAATAATGATCATGCCTGTTGACACTTAGAGCTTCTAAAGGGAATTCTGAGTAGCGACGGAAAGGCAAAGCAGGGCTCAAGGACACCCGTGGCGAGCGCTGCCTGTGCAGCTGGTGATGAAGCCTTTGCTGGGAAAAATAAAACGGGTTCTGGGTAAGCACCGAACTGTGGCTCGAATCCAGTGAGGCACATGGGAAACCCAAAGTGAGGAATCTGGTTTCCAGATAAATAAATTCTGTAACTGCCAAAAAGAGAGGACTTGACTGGTTGTGTGGCTCTCCACTTGCGCAAGGAGCAAACTCCAATGTAGGTTTTATTTTCTGGAAGGAAGGCTGAAGATTCTGAGACCTCTGCTGGGATTTTTTTTTTTTTTAAATCTAGTCGGAAATGTCTCTTTTTATTAAACTTTGTCAAGTGTGGACTAAGCAGACCGCCTTTGGAATGTCTTCCAGGCGTGGAGGCCCTGTCCGCTTGGATCTGGGGGCCCTGGAGGAGCAACAGGGAGCTCTTGGGACAGGGCTGCCAGGATCATGGGAGGCGAGGGACAGAGAGGAGGCGGTCCAGCTGGAGAGAGCGGCCTGGAAGCTGCTGGATGACAGTATGGAGAAGAGAGCATTGAGGGACACGTACAAAGTGACTTTCATTTGAGGCTCCCCAGCATGCTGGCCTTGGCACCTCACCCGCTGCACCTCTGCGGCTCGTGGTTGTCAGTCTTCCCACAGGGCCGTAAGATGGACAGAGACCCAGCCTGAGCCTTTTTTTGTTTTTGTTTTTGTGCTTCTAACATCAACAGTGAACGGCGGCTGGTCACAGGGGTGCACAGAGGGCTTCGGGTGAACAGGTGGCAGAGAAAGCAGGGCCAAGAGGTCAAGGGTGCTGCTCCATTTAGGGTCCAGTGAAGGCCACGGGTGACACCAGTAGAAGTGTTAAAAAATTCTGAAAATATTTTGGTCCTCGTGTTTGTTAGTTTCATTTATAGCTGTCACTTTGTGGTGTCTGTTGGTGACAATATCCCCTAGGTCCAAAGAGGCATCGTGGGTTTCTTCCTGAGGCAGCTGGAGGGAGAGCTGTTGGTGGTGCTGCACCCCAGGCTGATGAGCAGACAGCGGCAGGCGGGAAAGAGAGGGTGCCGCGGGGGCCCCAGGGGCTGCAGCCGAATGGGGGATGGACGGGGTGAGAGATGGCCCTGGGGCTCGGATCAGCGGGAGGCCTCACATCCGGCTTACGTCCCCTTCCTGCTCCACCAGTGGTTCTTCAATATGCGAATGACAGAGGGCCCAGAGCATCTTTTTCCTGCTGGTTGTGGAGTGCACGTGGTATACAGGGAATCCTCTGTTTATTTGTTTTGTAAGGTTTTATTTATTCATGAGAGACACACAGAGAGAGGCAGAGACACAGGCAGAGGGAGAAGCAGGCTCCCTGCTGGGAGCCCGGGTGTGGGACTCGATCCTGGGACCCTGGGATCACGACCCGGGCCGAAGGCAGACGCTCAACCGCTGAGCCACCCAGGCGCATAGTATATAGGGCTTCTTTGTAAGAGTTACCCCAATGCCAGGACCCTTGGAGGCTGCCCTCATTCTCTCCCTTTTCCTCCTTCAGCCTCTGCTCTCTGAGGCCCAGCCCTCACCCCCATTTCCACTAATAGCTGGAAGTCATTTCTCCTTAGTGCTTCTCCTCAGTGTGGAAACACAAACACATGGTGTGCTCATTTCCTTTAGAAATAGAACGGGGCCGTGCCCAGTTCTATTCTGTTTACCAGGCAACCTGGAAGGTGGTATGTAGGGTGTTCTGATGTTTGGGCTGATTGGTTGGGGGCTGTGATCTGTGAGGCCCTTCCTGGCCCTGCTGGTCTTGCTCTTCTTGAGGGGCATTGTGTTTCTGTGGCCAGACCATGAGGCTGGGAGTCGGGAGTCCTGGGTTCTAGCTCGGTGCAGGCACCAAGGTGATGACTTCGGTTATGTCCCCTCATCCTTCTGGGAGATTAGGGATTTGGCTCAAGTGCCTCTTCTGTGGACCTGTGCTTCCAACAGACCTTGACTACTGTAGTGGCTGCCTCTGGAGGCTGTAGGGCCATGGTAATCCCCTCCCCCCAACAACCTCTGGGCAAAGTTACGAAGCTTAAGAACATCTTCCTTAGCCTTGCCGGAAAAACAGATCCTGGAGGAGTCTGCTTGTCCATTCCCAGGGGGATTAGAAAGTCAGGGACTGCAGGGTGTGAGGTAGGGTGAGGAGCAGGGCCGAGCGATGATCTTGGACAATGACTTTGGAAGTCACAACCAAATAATCGGGCAAGGCTCTGAGAGAGAACCAGAATTCAATTAGATGAAAGTTTAACATCCTTGAGGCTTGTGCAGTCCCAAGGCATAAAAATCATATGAAAAGAATGCAGGAGTCTTTTTCTTTTTTTTAAGATTTTTTTTTTTTTAAGTAGTCTCTATACCCAACATCGGGATTGAATTTACAACCCTGAGACCAAGAGTCACACGCTGTATTGACTGAGCCAGCCAGGCACTCCTACAATGCAAGATTCTTTAGAGTTGGAGGGGAAAAATTTATAGTTATGTACCTTAAGGGTCAAATAAATGCAAACTCCGACGTGAGCCTTGGATAGGGGTTATGGCCCGGACTCTGGTTCGAAGACTAGGAATCAATCACCGATATCTAAGGGAGTGGTCTCCTTGGCTGCCCTCGTCTTTAAGTTAGGAAGTTGGCGATAGGGCTTGACTGGTCATAGGGTCACCTATGTGAGGATCTAGTCAGTATCCACCCAAAAGTTCCCATTGATGGAAACAACCCTAGTTAAAAGAAAAAAATTCTCTCTATTATGGATAGACATTTTAGTAGTCCAGGGAAAACACAAAATTCAGCACACAGATGTTTAAGGGAATTAAAACTGTAGTTTTAATATTTTCAAGTTAAAGGAACTTGTATGTATATTCTTGTCTTAGCCTGCTGGGGCATCTGTAACATCATACCGCAGACTGGGTGGCGTCTAAACAACAGAAATGTATTCCTTACAGTTTCAGAAGCTGAGAAGTCCTAGATCAAGTCACTACAGATTTGGTGGCTGTGAGAGCCCACTTCCTGGTCCCTACATAGCTGTCTGCTCACCGTGTCCTCACGTGGCAGAAAGGGTGGGAGAGCTCTCCAGGGTCACTTCTAAGGGCACTAATCCCATTTGTGGGAGCTCCACCCTCATGACCTGATCATGTCCCAAAGGCCCCACCTAAATATCTTCACATTGAGGGTTAGGATTCCAGTATATGAATTTTGGGAGACACTAACATTCAGCCCGTAGCAAGGATACTTCGTGGACATGAGATTTTACTTTCTTACTTTTCATTATTTTTAAAAAGATTTTATTTATTTGATGGAGGAAAAGAGAGAGAGAGCACAAGAAAGGGGAGGGGGCAGGCAGAGAGAGAGAGAGAGGGAGAAGCAGGCTCCCCACTGAGTAGGGAGCCTGACATGGGTAGATCCCAGGACCCTGGGATCATGAACTGAGCTGAAGGCAGGTGTGTAACCATCTAAGTCACCCAGGTGCCCTTTATTTTTATATTTTAAAGATTTATTTATTTATTTTAGAGAGAGAGAGAGAGAGAAAGAGCAAGAGCAAGTGGGGAGAGGAACTGAGGAAGAAGGAGAGAATTTTAAGTAGACTCCCTGCTGCGTGTGGAGCCCATCAGACGTCCAACTGACTGAGCCACCCAGGTGCCCCTGTGTAGAAATCTTTCTAAATTTACATTTAGTTTAAAAATTTAAGAGAATATAAGCTTGACTCTTTGCATGCTTAATTTATTAAATCTTATGAGAGTTGCTTTAGTACTTGGGAAGGTTTGTTAGTCAGATAAAGTACTTAAAGAGGGATGGAATATATTAAATTTATAAATGCTGCTTAAAATGTTAAAGAGGTTTAATTAACTAAGTGTATAAACGGGACCAAACATTAATCAAAAGCCCTCTCAAAGTGATTGTTAATATTTGCTAGACTTATAAATAGGATAATAAGCTTCCTAAGCTGATTTTAAAAGCTGAAGGAGGAGCAATACATTTCTGAATCGCTGTTTTTAATAAATCAAATACTAATCTTCAAGATCCAGGTAGAGCTATGCATAGTCTTTTCTGTGCACCAAAGCTACCCTCAAGGAGTAAACAACTTTCCTCCAAGCAGTGAGAGGGTCTTCAGTGGTGCAGGAGGGAGCAGGTTGAGTGAAAGTGGAGAAAGGGAAATAACATTTCAGTGTCACCAGGATTGTGTCCTTCCCAGGGTCAGGCTAGTCGGTTCATTACACTCAATTCCAAACTGCTCATGTCTCAGGCAGAGATGAATTAAGTGTATTCTGTGCTTACTGTGTGCAGGGTCAGAATAGCTGAAGAGGGCATTTGGCAACTAAGCGGGGGAGGTCATGGTGGCTTTGGGCCCCTTGCTGCCCCTCTCTCCAAGCTCTTCTGGGTGCAGTTCCACTGCTCTTTTAGCTGTCTGTTATTCGTTAAGTCATTTTCCCTGAGCAGGAATAAGGATATTTGTGGGAGAGTCCAAGGTTTTTGTTTTCCAGAGGGGTTTGCAGCCAACGGCCCGTGAATGTGCATCAGTCAGAATGCTTATTTGTACCTCCTAGAAGCCGGTTCTAGCTGGTTTAAACAGTTTAAGCAGAAACAGAGCTGTTGAAAAGCCACTCACAGAGCCTTTGGGAAGGGAGGAGAATCTAACTCAGCAGCCATATTGGACAGAGCCACTGTCAAAGACATATCGGAAAGGTTGGGTGAGGCTCAGTTGGAAGAGCATGTGACTCTTGATCTCTGGGTTTTGAGTTCTGGCCCTGCATTGGATATAGAGGTTACCTATAAACAAACAAACTTTAAAAAGTTGGTTGAGAAATCTGCTGCCAACACTGAGCATGACTTCAAACTACAGTTTGAGCCCCTTGTGGTGGTTGCCTTACTTGGTATTACTGTCAGAGCTGGCCCTGGATGCCCACCAGAAGGATCCCCCACTACCCTCCTTCCCTGCATGGCCAGCACCTGGCCCATGGTCTTGGGTGGATGCATCTGACTCTCCCAGCCTACATCGCATGCCTATGTCCACACTGCAGGGAAGGCTGGGAATGAGAATACATGGCATTTCTAGCTTCTGTGGTGGGAGATGGGCTCTGATTTCCTCTGAGGCTCATGACATTGGTGTGTCGAGGCCAGTTTATAAGAGTCAGTTAAAATTTCATGGACTTGTGAGCTGTTAAACACAACCATTATTAA